TGTGTGTGTATACACACACAAGTCGTCTAAATGACACAGCTTGCATGTAGCATGGAATTCAGATGACCCTTCTCCAAGAAAGGCAGAAATTTCTGCCTTGAGGGGAGCAAGAGAAAAGCTTTGGCTAGGCACTTGCTACCTCTCTCATCTATCTCTAAAAGAGATGTCAGGCTAGAATTATATCTATCTGCCTCCACAAATACTGGTAGTCTAAAGGTATGAGTCTGGTTCCAAAGGAAAGCTGTTTTTTCCTGGTCATCTTTAAAGAGGAGATTACACTTACCAGATTAGCTCCTTCCCACCAGATGCTCATTTCACCACCAAGAATAACAAAAAGTGCGTATAAATTCATCGAAACACCAAACAGAAATCTGCAATGTATACAGATTAGAATATACCAAAGAACATGCAAGAGTGAATGAGTGCTTTAGCAAGGATTAAGAGGAGATCTCAGGGGCAACTAAGTGGTGAAGTGGATAGAGCAGTGGCCCTGGAGTCAGGAGGACCTGACTTCAAATCCAGCCTCAGACACGTAACACTCACTAGCTGTGTGACTCTGGGCAAGTCACTTAACCCCAATTGCCTTACAAAAAGAAGAGGAGCTCTCAGATCAAACCAAGAGAGAGAAGACCCAATCTCACCCAAAGAGGTCCATTCTAGCAGTCTCTAGGGAGGTAAGCTGGAAATAAAGGGCATGTTGAGGATTAGCAGGTTTCCCCTACGTATCTGCAGGTTCTCTCTCCATATGTAGCACTCTCTTGAATAGTCTGTGGAACTTCATGCGTCTTTCTCCCAGATACTCTGGCTCTAGTTCACTAAGTTCCTCATGGCAGGTTGTACTCAATATTCTCTCCAAGACGTATGAGTTACATCTCTCTGCATATGCATCAGCTCAAAAAATGCCCTGAAGTTTGGTTGAAGCCAGGTTATAGAAGAAAGAGATATAATATGTCTGCAATACTTTCTTGATTTCATATATACTTAGAATGATAGTCTTAGAGGTGGAAGGGAATGTGAAGATCACTTAATATAACTCCTCCATTTTACAGACAAAAGTCAGGCCCACAGAGATTAAGATTTGCCCAAGGTCACAGAAGTCGTAAGTGGTAGAAAAAGAATTCAAACCCTGGTCATCTGAACTAGACATCCAGCACTTTCCCTTTATGGGCAGGCAGGGAAGCAGAGTATTTGGAAGGTGGAGAGGGGCCCAAAGGCATAAGCAGCAGGCATAGGATCTGATTCCTTCTCTCAAACATGCATGGCTAAAAGGCAAAATTAAGCTGGATATAAAACCCCCATAGGAGAGGTCATATTATAATGTCTTCACCACCAAATAAGAACTAAGGTTAAGTATCTTGCCCAAGGCTAAACAGTGAGGAAGCTGGGATTTGGATTCCCTGATTCAGAAAACCAATCCTTTGCCCATGCTGAGTCACAGCATTCTGCTCAGCCTGCAAGTAAGAAAATTGCTCAGTGATTGGAGGGGAGCTAAGATCTTTTACTTCCCAAAGTATATGATTGAATGTATTTCTGTTTTCTTCTTTCCTCATGAAAAGCAGTGACTGATCAAGTATGGTAGAACCCTAAAAAAAGCAGAATAATTCCCCCTTTCTCTCCCCCTACTTAAAAAAAAATAGAGCAGAGTCAAGGCTTAGGGAAATTGGAAAACCACGGAGCATAAACTGTTTGCCCAGAAGGCCCTAATTAACTCTCTATTTTCATAGAATCTATAAGCAGATTCTACAATTCAGTGGGGTGATGAGGACTTTCCTTAATATCTAGGGGAGGTGCTTCATAGGGCATATAAATCTCAGCGGGATTTCCATGGTACTGTTGTAGATCAAAAGTGTTGGTTAGCAAAATCCAAAATCTGCACTAAAAACAGGCATTTTAATAAGCCGAATTAATTAACTGGATTAATTAATTACATGACATTTATCTAATTAGCTAACACTTTCACCTGTCAGAACCAGAAGTAAATGCCAGATAGAAAGTCCCTGTACCCCTGAATGACTAACTATAAATTAAAAGTTACTACAAGTAAGAGACAAAGAGAGGTGGCCAAGAAAACTTGAGAAGCTGAATGCTCAGCATTGTTGTGGATTGCTGGGAAAGAACACTGGGAAGGCCAAAGTGGCTGAGGCTTTATTGTTGCCATAACCAACAAACTGGTATAAGCTAGAGGACAGACTGTTTGTACCCAGCTCTCCCACTGCTTTCCAGTCACCAATGCATAAATGGCATGCTTTCTCAAGCTAGGAGTGTGAAAAACTTCTTAGTATTTAGCTACAAAGTGGAATGGGGTGTCTTGGAAAGGGGTGGGCTCCCCCTTAATGGAGGTCTTCAAGCAAAAGCTGGATGACCATGTTTTGGAGATATTGTATAATCAATCAACATATGTTAGACACTTCCTATATGTCAGGCATTGTGCTAAGCTCTGGGGATATAAAGAGGCAAAAGACAGTTGCTGCCCTTAAGGAGTTTACAATCAAATGGAATGGAATGGAGAGGAAGTTCTTTTTCAGATGAGGGCTGAACTATTTGGTTTTGCTTTTTTTGGTATTCCCAGTACTTAGCACTTCACAAATGCCTGATGATTGACTGACTGACTAGGTGACCCTGTGTGAAATTCTGAGATTCTGAGATTCTTATTAGAAACCTCCATGTATCTTCTCCAAACAAAATTGCAGAACTCCAGTGATCTGGAGGTGGAAATGGCAAAAAATTGTTGTTGTAGTTGCTGGTGTTCAGTCATTTTAGTCATGGGCTAGATCAATTCCTTTGGTCCAAATCTGTGATTTCACCAGTAGCAAAAACTCCAATGAAGAAACTATAAAGTTCCAATGTAGATAGGCAACTGCATTGAAACTTGTGGTTATTGGAAGTTCATAAATGAATGAATGAATGAAAAGCTTTCCAAGCACTATGCAAAGTGCTAGAGATACAAACAGAAAAAGAAAACAACAGTCCCTGATCTTAAGGATTTCATGTTCTAAATGGGGGGGGGGGTAAGAGAACACTTAAAAAGAGACTTCAGATGTAAGATGTATAAGAAAGCCTGTGAGACCTAAGGATTAGAGATGAGAAGGACCTGACATCATCTAGTTCAATTTACCACCCTCTCTGATCTTACAGATGAGGAAAGTAAAGCCCATAGAAGTTAACTGATTCATTCAAGACTACATAGTTAGTAAGAGCTTACTTAGCACAGTGCCTTGAACATAGCAGGTACTTGACACATTTTATTGACTGATTGCTTTAAACTCTAGTTTTCAGACTTCCAGGCCACTATATCAGAGGTGTCAGACATGTAACCTGAAGACCACTTATGGCCCACAACATGCCCTAGACTGGCCAGAACCAGATTAAAATGTAACTGGGAAATATTTAACAAAATAAATAAAAAATGCAATAAAACATAGATAATGTTAATACATGGTTTTACAAGTCAATATGCAGCCTACAGATATCCTTATGGTTTAGTGACCCCCATTTGTATTTGAGTTTGACACCCCCACCATGCTGCTAATATAACTGCCTGGGCCCTTTCCATTCACTCTCTCCTCTCAACCTTCAAACTCTGCTGATGCCTCCCCAAGAGAGAAATGAATTAATATTAGGCTGGGTTTTATAGAGAGGAATGTCAATGTAGGGGTACAGGAGGAAAAAAATAAAGAACTGTCAGCCATAGCAGCACTATGGAGAATGGATATAGATGTCAACACATACTATGGTATTAGAAAAAAATATCATACCTACTTCCACACATTCCTGAAAAAAATCAATGTATATTACTAAATTCTAAATGATCAGAGTAGTTTTGCATCTATGAATATTTTATGCTTTGACTTATATAGGAGCCATGAGAGTAATGTTCATAAGGCCTCCATCAGCATAGAACTGCAATTGGCTTCCATAGAAGGGAATTTAAAAAGGAAATAAGTTTGGGTCCTACTGAATAATTCTGAATTCTTCCTGAAAAGAATAGTGAGAATCAGTAAGACCACAGAATATTAGAAATAAGAGGGCACTTTGAGATCTTCTAATTCAACCCCCATGTTTTACAGATGAGCAAACTGAGGGCCCAAGAAGGTTGAAGTGGCAGTAAATATAAATATATATCTTATACACACATGTCTAGGGAGAATATGGGGGGAGGATATATCCATAGAACCCTTTACAGGGACACTGTGTTTTCTAAAAATGTCAAATTGGCATTTTCATTTCAACAATTCTACCTGGATTGGCCCCTAAACAGCTAATTCGTTGTGATAACAGACTCAGCCTGACAGTCCAGATAGATGGTGAGGCCTCAAGAAATGAATACTATTTAAATATTGGCCTTCTGTATGAGAAGCTGTGCTAGCAAAGTCGAAGAGACGTTGTGCTTAAGTATTAACTTTGGATGTTATCCTGATTTGTGATTAAAAAGAATGAAAATAGAAGTTGAGTGATGGGGGTGGGGAAGTGGTTTGGAGAGGGGAAGTGATTGTTTGGGGACTGAAAGTTCTCACGTGTACTGGATACTTTTGCAGGAAAACCCAATGGGGTTGTTATGGAAACCAACAGAAGACTTGCATTCATGTACCTAATCTCAAAGCAAATAAGTCCATGTGCCCCATCAAACTCATTCTGGGATGAGTGCCAGATGTGAGAACAGGGACAAACAGTGAGCAGGCTTCCAACCTGACAGTGGGGATAGGATGCCACACCTTCCGAGAGAGCCAATCTGCTGGGTAAAGTGCTTCGATGATGTCTGAACTATAGTATATAATAAAAGGTTACCAGAGAAGGGGGAATATTTGAATTTATTGGGGTGACGAAAATGGAAAAGTTCCATTGCCAATCTCTAATGAAAAACACCAGGCAAGGAGCATCACTTTAACCACAGCAAACACGCTTGAAAAATTCTGTTTAGATCCACAAATTAAGAGCGGACACTGGAATTTGTTTTTCCTTCTTTAGATTTCAAACTCACGACTGATTGTGTCTCATTGTAGAAAAGCATGACATCTATTTTAGCTGACTCCAGCAAATCCATGAGGACTGACAGGAATACTTATGTTGGGTGAGTAATTTTGACATTTTTGGATTTGTTCTGATTAGATGAGCACTCCATAGGTATTATATTAAATTCAGCTCTGAATATTGGCCTGTGCTACTATTTAAACTTCTTAAGTTTAAAGCTCAGGTAGTGGAAATAGCAATTGTAATATGAAAGGAGAGAAAGAAATGCAAACTGTCTTACCAATAACATTTTCATTTAAATCAGATTTCTGCACACTGATTTATCTAAGAAATTGGGTCAATATAAATCATGGAAATGATGTTAAGGCTTTAACCAACTCCCTTAAGTGAAGAAATTCAAAGTCAAGCCTGAAGTGTACTCCAGAGAGTTCATTCTTCAATTCAGGAGACAATTGACTAAACCTGGAACCCAATTAAAGGTGCATCCCAGTGCCCCAAGGAAGTCTGACTGTTTCCAGTAGCCTATTATGGAACAACCTCACCAGCTTTGTGACTGACTTTACATAAAATTTACTTCAAAAATATCACACGTCACACAACTGCAGGGTAATCATAAATCTGTGGAAACTATTAGTGTATTTAGCTTAGGTGTTGTCTTCAAGTTCACAGAATGCTGTGGATCATTAATCTTCATCAAGCTTTAGGCATTTTTGAAAGTACTGGTTGATTCACAGTGGATTGTGCGGGATTTCTTCCATCATACTTCAGTCAGTCCAGTACTTCAACAAAAAGAATCACTTAGCCATCCTTAGCAGACATGGGCCTCTATAGCGTTCGTTCCTTCAAGAGAGAGACAGAGACACAGAGACACAGAAAGACAGAGACAGAGAGAATGAGAGTGATAGAGAAAAACAGAGACAGAGAGAGAGAGAAAATGAAAAATGATGAAGACAAAGAGAGCCATGAGGAGAGGTTTATCCTTTGACTGCTTCCCTGCTAGGACTTTTCTCTGGTTGTATTTTCTAAAGGCTGACCATGTTGTATAATTTATGAAGCTTTGGGGAGAGGTTTGCATTTCTTCCTTTCTATACTGTGTACTCTAGAGGAGCAGGAAAGGGAAAATCTAAGATGTACAGAAGTGTCCATAAAGCAAAGAAAGAAATCTAACAAAGCAAGCACCAGTCATTTTTTTATGCTTATTCGTTTATTTATTCATTCATTCATTCATTTGCTTATTTAAAGTTCTATTGCTGCCTTTTGTGGTAATGCACTGGTTGTTTTTTTTTGTTTCCTGCCCCTCCCCACCCCAGGTTTCCCTTATTTTTTCCCCCATCTTTCCCTTATAACAAAGAAAATTAATTAAGCAAAACCAACCAACATAACTGATCATGTATGCAACATTCCACACCATAGTCCCCCATTTCTCCAATGAGTTATATTTCTTCTTCCAGGCTCAAGATTAGTCATAGTTATATCACACTTAGGTTCATCTTATTGCTTTCTCAGTTAAATTATGGTAGTCATTGTGTACATTGTTTTCCTGGTTCTGTTTACTCTGCACAAGTTCATACACATTTTTGATTCCCTGCTTCTCCCAGCCTTCCTTTACTTTTTTTCCCATCTTTCCCTAATAACAAAGAAAAGTCATTAAGCAAAACCAACCAACATAACTGATCATATAGGCAACATTCCACACCCACGTCTCCTACCTCTCTAATGAAAGAGGAGTTACATTTCTCTATTTCTTCTCCAGAGCCAAGATTAGTCATAATTATGTCATGCTTAGCTTCATCTTGTTGCCTTTTCAGTTAAATTATGGTAGTCATTATACATATATCATTTTTCTGGATCTGTTTATTTCACTTTGCATGTGTTCATTTGAGTTTTTCCATGCTTTTCTGTATTCCTCCTATTCAGCATTTCTTAGGGTGCGCAATGTTCCATTACATTCATATGCCACCATTTGTTCAGCCATTCCCCATTTGGTGGGTACCCTCTTTGTTTCTAGTTCTTTGCTACCCCATACATACACACACACACACACACACACACACACACACACACACACACACACACACACACAAGATCATCACACGTTTTAGAATGATGAGATAAAAGATTCATGCAGCATCAGAGATGGGGTAGAGTTCTAGGCGAGTTTTTATTGCAATAAATGATGTTGATGTTTGGAGGTTCTTGAGATGCTCCTCCTTCTAAGGCATGACTTGGTTAAGAATGTCCTGACAGGGGCAGCTAGGTGGTGCAGTGGATAGAGCGCTGGCCCTGGAGTCAGAAGGACCTGAATTCAAATCCGGCCTCAGACATATAACACTCACTAGCTGTGAGACTGACTCTGGGCAAGTCACTGAACCCCAATTGCCTCACCAAAAAAGCAAAATAAAAGGAATGTCCTGTCAAACAGAATTCTCAGTCACTGAGATGAGTTGACTAGCAAGGAGAAGGATACATTTTTCTTCCCTGGGAGGTTTTACTTTGTTTTAAAAGGTAGGTTTAATCTGACTAATATGGTTTGGAGGTTCATTCTTGAAAGCCAGGGAAATGGACTGGATAAACAATTGAGAATATTTGTCAACCTCTTAATATTAATTACAGTAGTGATATTCCAACACTTCAGAGATCTATGATTTAGTATGATTTAGTCCTCAAGAATTGCTGGACTTCAGGAATTGCTGAGGTCACTTCAGTGATGAGCCTCTTTGAACTTAGGAGAGTCCTCAAATAACAGACATTTGGGAAAGCTAGGTGGCACAGAGGATTACACACTGGGTATAGAGTCAAGAAGACCTGAATTCAACTCCTGCCTCAGATGTTTACTAGCTGTGTGGCCTGGACAAGTCACTTAACCACTGTTTGCCTCAGTTTCTTCATCTCTAAAATGGGGATAATAACAGCATCTATCTCCCAGGGCTCTTGTGAGGCTCAAATGAGGTAATAGTTGTAAAATGCTTAGCATAGTGCCTGGTCTATCGTGAGTGCTATATAAATGATAGGTATTATAAGTATGATGATGATGACATAATATTCCTCACTCCTCCCAGTGTGGCTGTGTTAGGTAATCAGTCATCTGACTCATAGCTCAAGGCCCCAGCCAAAGCAAAAATTTTTCTCCTGTGCTTGACCATACAGGAGATGAATAGATCCAAAGACAAAATCATTTAGATAGGAAGCAACATAAATAACAAAGAAGGGGATCAGTAGCAAAACATTCTCTGAACCCATACAACAAGGATTGCTTCCGGGGGAATTAAATACTAATTCTTTTTTTTAAATCCCCCTGGTTCCTCACTATGGCAGGAAAAGGATGCAGTCACTTCAAAAGTCATTGCCACAGTGATAAATATTTACAATCCACTGTCATCTGCCTCTGGGCATTTCTTTCTGGAAAGTCTCCTGCAGCACACTGGAGAAGAGCCAAATGCTTTCACCTTGGCTCTAGAGGTTTGGGTCCAGCTGTGACTCTGGTGTTGAGGGATATCCTAGCCATAGAGTTCCATATGGTCTCTCCACCCTAATTCCAGCTACATAGAGTGATTCATAGTTCCATCTACTCCCATGTTCACTCGATTCTTATTCTGTATTCATGCCATCCTCTGTTTAAATATCCTGCCTGGCAGCACACTCCCCACCAATCACAGTCCTTGCAGAGTAACATCACTATACTCTAGACTTGTCCAAAGCCCTAGGAAATGTCGTCCTGAAAACCTCTCCTGTTGAGGAATACCCCTTGCTGAAGTCCTAGTGACATAGCCACTAAAGAGAGGAAAGAATACACGTATATTAAGCATCTACTATGTGCCATCACTATGCGAAGTGCTTTACAAATATTATTTCATTTGATCTTCACCATAACCCTTTGCAATAGGTACTAAAAGATATATAAATCTGTTATCACAGTTTAAATATCTTATTAAATATCTCATTAAAGATATACACGTACACACATACATATATTATAGTTTATCAGGCCCATAGCCTAAGCCCTTTCAACTGACATATTACAATACTAAAGAGTTGATATTTGTACAACACTTTGAGATTTGCCAAATGTTTACGTATCTTATCTCATTTGATATCTATAAGAACCTTATGAGGTAATTAATGCCAGTATTATTATCCCTATTTTATAGATGAGAAAACTGAGGCCTAGAAAATTCAAGTGTTTTATCTGGGTTATGTAGTTAATAAGTGGTAAAACCAAGACTAGACCTCATGTCCTCTGAATCTAAACACGACCCTATTCCACTATACCATAGTGATTCTTAGATTCTATTAAAAATCTAGAGAAAAACTTCAGCTTAAGAAAGCAGTCCTTGGGAATAAGAGAATCTAAATTATACAAAAGGAGCAGATGGAAGGAATGTATATGTTTATATGAGTTTGGGAAAGAAGTACTGTGAGGAAATTAGTTTTTGCCCCTCAGGAAAGGTGAATGGCCCCCTGAGAAGGGGATACTTGAATATCTGAGGGTTCTGTTCTGATATGCTAGTACAATATAGAAAATGATGTCCTTTTCTACCTAGGGGTGGCTAATTAACCAAGTGCCAGTTTATTATACTACCTGGCTAGGGGAACTCAACCAGAGATTTTACTCTACTCCATCCCCTGAAGGAAAAGCTAGAGCCACAAGACAGAATGAGAAGAGGAAAGTCTGAAAAAGAGGACCTTGGGAAAGAGTCCTCAGATGGGTTCAAGTCTAAGAAAAAGAAACACATTCTTCTGAAGCTATGTTAGCCAGGCCAATTTTTGATTAGACATTAAAGTTGGGATCAGAAATCTGTAACTTGGAAATTTGCTTCTTTCTAGGATTTAGTGTGTTATTGGTTTTCTTTTAGTTTAATTCCTTAGTAAAAATTCCTTTTGAAAAAATCTTAACCTTGTATTGATTAACTGAGGAAAATGGAATTTTCTCTACTCCAGTCAAGATCAGTGAGGAGCTGGGGCAGGTAGGGAATGGGAATCCAGGGTGGAGTCAGCAATAGCTGTGGGCCTTTTCTCTTTTCTTTCTTTTATAAGGCTTTACTGAGACCAACAGTTGATCCTAAAGTTTCTTATTTAGCAAGTAATGGTATATTTGCCTTCTTACTCTTCTTTTCCCATTTGAGTAACTGGGAAAAATAAAGGGTGTCTTCTCTAAAATTATGTATAGTGATGGGGAGGCTAGTAGTTGAAAAGAAGAGAAGGTAAAGAAGAAGGGCCCTGTGGGGTCAGTGGTAACCACGAGAGAAGGGAAGGACCTAGGAGGGAGTTTTATTTTTTTTTTCCCCTTAATTTTGAACTGAGAAAATGACATCAAAAGATTGAGTGACTCTAGAAACTCTCTCTAGCTTGGTCTGAGAAATAAGGTATTAGGTGGTTATAATACAGATCAATGAGAAATGGTGGGAAAGAAAGAAATACAACCCTCCCCCTTCTATTCCTGCTCTCCCCCCAAAACCCTAACCCCCAGGAGCAGGGAGCAGCAGCCAGGATGTGATTTATGAGAAAGGGCCTGCCCCGGGGAGGTTAACACACTTTCACCTGTAAGAGAGTCTCAGGAAACACATACATATTAGGAACTAGTAGTTGTTTATTCTAAGCATTCTATTTTGTTTTCCTCCTTTTAATATCCTCTGTAATGTTTAAAAGTGTGTAGTTAAAAATGAGGATCATAGATCTGGAGCTAGCGATCTTACAGATCACCCAGTCTCTCCCTCTCATTTTGCAGAGGCATCTAGCTGGCACCAGGGTTAGAGTAGTAAGCCTGGAGTCAGGAAGAAACTGAGTTCAAATGTGACCTCAGTCACTTATTAGCTGTGTGACCCTGAACAAGTCACTTAACTTCTGTCTGCCTCAGTTTCCTCAACTGTAAAATGAAGACAACAACAATAGCACCTACCCCCCACAGTTGTTGGGAGTATCAAGAGATAATTGTAAAGTGCTTAGCATAGTGCCTGGAATATAGTTGGTGCTTAATCAATGCTTATTCCCTTCCCTATAAATGAAGAGTCCATCTCCTTCAACCAGGGGATACTAAGCATTTTTCTCTAGATTTCCTGATTGGGGGCTTTGAGCCAAGGGACTGAGAAAATCCCACAAAATATACTAGAGCCTTTTGGGTCAGCTTGACCTTCCTCCTTTCTCATCCAAGACAATTCTCCACAGAAGCCAAGGGCAGATCCCAAATATTGGGACACGTGCCTCTAGAAGGTAATATTTGATTTGAACTTCAGTAACAAATAGGATAGGGAACAGATTTTCCCTTATGTTGAGAAAAGGATATGAAGTCAATTTGATTATTCAACTATGCATTATCCAATCTTCTGCCTTTTCTTCCTTTTTTCTTTTCTTTTGCCATCTTTTTATCTTGTGATTGCACTTCTGGATTTCCCTCTAGGAGCTCTTCCCCAGAGAATGAATGAGTAGGGCAAGTCTAGGAAAATATAGCAGTCAGCTTTGCTCCCTGCAGGCTGCTATGAAATTATTGACACAAATGAGGTTTGTGTTTGTTTGGGTGTGAATGGTTGGTAAAAGTCAGGTAACATCCACAATGAGTCAGAAGTTGAACTGTGATTTACAGAAAGGATGGGGAAAGCTTAAATCAAGATGTAGGAATGATACCACATGCAATAAGTCATTAGAAGACAAGATAGACTAGAAAGGAAGTTAAGGTTTGAGTTACAGCTGAGATGAAAGCAGATAGGGAAGGTGGAGAGACTTGAAGGCTGTGGTCTGAAGTCAACATTTGATCTGGAGGGAGCTATTGAAGTACTGGGGGAAGGTGAATTATGTGGTAAAATCAAGGATTGACTGTAATCTGAAAATCTTTTACAATATTTAAACTATTTGCAATATTATAGTATATATATATATATATACAGTATTATATATGTATATATATATATATGCAGTATTATAATAGTATTCCTTATTTCTTGATTTGTATTATTTTGCATTTAAACATTTGGTCCTTCAGCATATAATCTCTCTCTGTCTCTGACTCTCTGTTGTCTTTTCCTCTCTCTTTTCCATCTCTCTCTCTCTCTCTCTCTCTCTCTCTCATACACGCACACACACACACACACACACACACACACACACACACACACACACACACACTTCTATCTAGAGCTTCTGATCTCTATTAGAAAGATGTTCCTAGGACAATAGATGTTGTTTTTCATTTTTCTGCTTCTTATCTGGCCCTGGGTATTTTTTTATGATATCCATTTTTTATCCCTTCTCCTAGTTTTTGTTCTTTCATAGTTCCAATTGTTTATGACAAATAGACTTTATGGCTTTGTTTTTTTCTCTATGTACTCCTCTTTCTCTTTCCCTTCCTCTTTGTTCTCCATTTTTCCTCATTATTCTTTCATCTCTCAAGAACTAAACAAAACAAAAATAGCACCTGCCTTCAAGGAGTTTATAGGCCAGCCAGAGGAGACAGTTACATATGTAAGCATATCCACAATGTATATAAGGAGATTTTTGTGAAGAGGTACTACTAGTTTGGGAAGGTTCAGGAAAGGCCTCGTGAGGAATCTTTTCATGCCCTTCCAACCCAGTTTTCTCTCTTACTTCTCAGATTATCCTTATCTATTTGTTTCAGCTTGATTATGTGGTTCCATGATCCTTTTCTGCCATAATATTTTGTGGCCTACAACTAGTCATAGGATAAGGAAAAGTTCCTTCAATCACGGCAGCCATTTATTGACAAAGTGAATGGAAAAGCATCCTTCTTTTTCTGACTAGCTTCTATTTTAGCTGCAACCTTTAAGATTCCTTGTGTTGGGAGGTCATACCCAAGGAATCCCAACAAATCATCTGACCCCAGTGCAAAGTTTGTGACCCACATGAGAGCTGAGAACATGCCTATAAACCACATTGGGAAACCAATATGATCATATTTCATGATATATTTCAATCTGATTGTCATTCTTCCTCTTTTGTGTGTGATTTATCCCCTGACTTCTTTCTACATTAACTCTCATTTTTTTTTTCAGAAATAGGTTTGTCCATGTTAAAAACCCTCACCTGGATTCTATGGATGAAGACATTCTTTACCACTTGGATTTAGGAACAAAGACACATAATCTTCCAGCCATGTTTGGTGATGTAAAGGTAAATAAAAATATCTAGAACACTGGGAAATATTGACTTTCTTCATCAGCTGTTTCTCATTTTTACTTATATCACTTGAGTTTCACATTTAGTACTAAAGGAATAAGTCACAGTTCTTATAGGAACTGAGGCCAATCTCATTTTCTGAAGCTATGTCAAATTTATCCAATAATAGAGCAATTCCTCTCTATCCTCAATGAAACATGAAGACTCTCAAGCTAATTTGAATACAAGTATACATATACTGGTTATTCTTGCCCCAGGAATGTAGAAAATTATTCTGATAACCTCAGTGGTGCTCAGAGTTTGGGAATTAACCAAAATATTGAGCATCTAGTAGATCATTAATTAAGGCCTAAATTTTTAAGTGAATTTCCCTAATCCTCAAGTCATTAAACCCAATACTATCAAAGTAGCAGAGAACAAAACTTCATTTCACTTAAAAAAATAAAATGACTCAGATGACATTATTCAGATTTGTTGCTTTTCCAAGAAATGTGCCATCCAGCAACACAGAGAACCATCTTTATTGTGTTGCAATCTAAGCAATTGTCTTGGGATCTGTGCTTTTGGTGGAGGGAAAGGGACATAGTAGAGGGACCAGATTGCTGAAGCTATGAAGTGACTCAGGGATATAACATATAATGTATAACTCAGGGATATAACAAGAGGGGAGTAGGGATAAGTAGCATCAACACCTTTTGCTGAAACAAAAACTGATGTGCTCACTCAAAATCAGCCCTGAGCTCTCCCATTCTCCTTCCGTCATCACCAAGGCAACATGGGAAAGACCAGGACTGGCTTGCTGACAAATGTGTCCTTTGTCCCTTTCAAACATACCCCTTTGTGTATGTTGCCCTTCTGTGATATCTGTGCTACTGACTATTTTCTTTAAACTGTAATACTTCTCCTACCTATCACCCTTGATGCTTAAGCTCAGTTCAGTTGATCAAGGCTGTTCTTGATGCTTCTCACTAGATTTGCCTCGAATGAAGACATCCCTGGAGCCCAATACTGTAGTTTTCCCTGGGCCCTGCACCCCTCTAAGGATGGCCCTGGTGTGGAAGAATCGGAAGCTCGAACATAAACATAAACATACAACTGATTAAATGAATGGATAATGCCTTACATTTCTGTAGTACTTTCAAATCCTTTTCATTGATAGTAAGTATCTCTTCTGTTCCTCACAATAGCTTTATGAGATGGGCAGGTATCATATCTCTCCTAAGAGTTGGGCACTGAGGCTCATAAAGGTTACCTAACACTTATCCGAGGTGACAAGGCTAGTGAAGGACAGAGCCAGAATGAGAATGCCCACCTCTGACCACAACCAAGCACCAAACAATAGCACCCTGCAAACCACATGGCCTATGATGATAGAACAGAAGTGTTATTACTGGATGTTGAGGGTCCATGTACTTGAACAAATTTTGGACGGCACCTTGGTGTCCTGGCTAAAAACAGCTCAGGTTTGTGTTCAGGGGAATAGCACAAAAGAAAGATGATTAGATTTGGACTCAGAGAAGCTGGGCCTGATTCCTTGCTTATGCGGCCTCACGCAACCCAGTTCCTCTCCATGGACCTCAGTTTCTTCATCTATAAAACAAGGGAAGGATGATTTCTAAGGTTGGTTCCAATTCTGAATGGATGATCTTTTGCTTGAAAAATATATTTCATGTGTACCATTTGTTTTACCAATAACAATTCCATTATAGAGCTCTTGAAAGTTTGCAAAGAATTTACTTCACAACCAGCCTGTGGAGTAGGTAGTATAAGTATCATTATGCCAATTTTGAAGGAAAGGAAACAGCCTCTGAAAGGTTACTTGCCTTGATTGTGGTTTCACAGATAGCAAGGGCCTGAGATGAGATTAGAATTCAGGGTTTCCTGATTCTAAGCAGTCAAGAAATCAGCAATCTTTCCACTATGCTGCGCTGTCACACACTGTAGAGCCTGGGCTAAACCCAAGGAGCCATGTCATCAGCATTTCTCCTGGAGGAAAGTATCTAAGAGTTTCTATTCACCCTGCTATAGGAAGGAGGCTTCAGAAGATAGCTCAGTGGCACATGGAGGGCTGGGCCTGGAGGCAAGAACACCCAAGCTTAAATCCAGCCTCATACACATACTAGCTGTGTGACCACCAACAAGCTACTTAACTTCCCTCAGCCTTGGTTTCCTCATCTGTAAAAATAAAAATAATAATACCATCTTCCTCTATCCCCCCCAGAATTGTTGTGGGGGGGAAATGAGATAATATTTGTAAAGTATTTTGTAAACCTTAATGTGCTACATAAATTATAATTATTATTAGTAGTAGTAGTAGTAGTAGTAGTATCATCATTATTACTGCTATAGACTCTACAATTTCCATTTACCAAAGCTTGAATTCTCACCTGACTGTGTGTACCATTATGTGGACTTCCCAATGCCTAAGAAACATTTCTTAACCATGACAATTCCATATAACCAAAGAACCTTCTATGTAATTTATAGAATATAAATATAATGAAAATAATAAATATAATATAGCATATACATATTGCATATAATAAATATTGTGAAGCAATGGAATAAGGAAGACCTGGATTCAAATCTCACCTCTGACAGCTGGTGAATGATTTTAGTCACTTGAACTTTCAGTGCTCCAGAGTAGAAGTTGGAGAGGCAAGATTGATTTGCACCGCAGAGGTTTTCCTTACTAATAGTTCCCAGATCTTTGATTCGATACCAATGAAACCATGGATCTGGTCAAAAAGCATTGAATTGAATTGTTATATTATGGTAGGGAAGTGAGGGGAAATTTCCAAAATAGAACTACCTGTCTGACCTGTACCTGTGGGGGCAGAAGCTATAGGCATATGGAAGAGAATGAAAGGAAGATCTTTTTAGCATTAACTGGAATCCACAGGTAGAGCCATAACTAGATCAGAGTGACCAGGACTTTGCCCAAGGAAGCTAAATTTAGAGGATGTTGACATCACTTGTCATCCTTTGGCAGCACGAATGCAACAACATTTAACACCTAGTTAGCAAGAATTAGAAGTTAAAATTGGATACTACCAGATGGTGGGCTGGGAGCTGGGGGGATTTCCTCTCCCTTCCTAGCCTCTGCACCCTACCTATCTGGCAGACTAACTAGCATCAGTCTTGCACTTCTATCCCAGGGTTTCTATCATTCTCCTTTCCACAGTTGTGTATCCTATTCCTTCTAGCTCTGTGACTTTGTGCTACCCTAGCTATGGCTGGAAAAACCAGCCAGTCTGATTCACATTTAGAAATGCTTTCCTTCCATCTTCCTCCTTCCTTATCTCTGCTTCAGCATTTTATAGGGTCAATTCATTGCTTAAATTTAAACTTAATAGCAGCAGTCCTACTTGGGACAGGGAATTTTTCTGGAAAATGTGGAGAATTTTGAATACTAATGCCTAAAAATAAATTGGAACTTTTTAAATCCTCATAGGTACACAGATACCTTCTGGAGATATCTTCAGCAGTATTAATGTAATCAGTGCCATTGTGCAATAGGAAACAGTGAATTGAGTTTAATTCTTGGTATTGGTACATACTGCCTAAGTGATCTTGGGCAAATCATGTCACCTCTAAGGGCCTGTAAAACGAATGGTTTGGAGCACACAACCTCTAAGGTCCACTTAAGGTCCACAGCCTTTCACAATATCAAAACAACATTGGTTTTTTCAGCTCCATCTATACACAAATTGTCATCCTTGTTGATAACATTATCTACAAAATCAGAGGAAAGTTCTTTGGGTGCCTATCTATGAACATATTGAAAATTTTGTCTTTAAAATGCTGGGGAGACTGCTACTATAAATACAATTTTATAATCTTCCCCAATGTCTTTGGGCAGCTTCACAATCATATTAGGTGAAAAAATGGAATTTTGATTCATGTGCTGCTTTAAGACTTTGATAGATGTGTGATCTTGTCCTTCAAATGATAAAGATTACAACCCACCAATGCTTACTCATCCTGTGTTCCTCCTGTCCCTATTTTCCAGTAAGTTCTCCCCAGGGGGTCCATGCAACATGGCAGAGTGGAGGCCTGGAGGAGAGTTCCTCTAGATCTCTTAACATTGCCTCGGTGCCAGTGGAGCACATGTTTGATCCCTAGTAAGTTACAAAAGGCTTGTTGAGAGACCCACATAAGCCAAATTGTCCCCAGGACATTTAAACATAAAAGTGGAAGGATAATAATGGATTAAAAAGCTCCATATACTCATTTACACAATTCAGAATAATGCAATAAGGCCCACCAGACCTGTAAAGTAGGAAACTTAATTTTAGGTATTTTTTTAAATCAATACTGAAGATAAGATAGTGTATACCTTATAGTAAGAGCTAAATAAACTTTATCAGCAACTAATATTGTTTCCTCCACACATTCTTGTGACTTTTGTTAATCTTCCTCACCACTGTCTCTCTGGAGTGAACAAGGGCAAATAAAACAAAAACTCATTTGGGGCTTTGACTGATTAGTGACCATCAAGGTCAATGTTGGTGGTCACCAGTCATGCTTAACTTCCTACTTAAGCAGTCAATTGAAACTCAGATCTATAGTTGAAATTCTGGTGCCTCTGATTTAGGACTCTGGTTTTAAGAATTGTCAGTTACAAAGTCTTATCTAAGCTTTTTCTGTCTGACCATTTCATCCTTATGGCTCCAGCAACATCCAGTAATGCCTGTTGATTGCAGCAATAGCTACAGTTCAAAGGAGAAATCAAACCACAAGCTACTCTAACATCTGTTTTGGTTTTATGATCAATATAAATCATAGTCATTTACATTCACTGGTATCAGACAATGAGGTTATTTAGAAACTATCATACTTGGCAAAAAATAGCTTGCATACACTTAGATCTCAAGCCAACTCTTGGCTTTTCATGATAATAGAGGAGGAAATTGAATGGAAAATACACTGTTAACTCAAAACCTCAACTTAGCTCATGATTTCACCTCCTTTTCTACCCAGCCTTTAAATTTGAATTGAGTTAGAGCTGATTACCAACTATTAGTCCCCTGGCAAATAAACCAAGGGGCTACAAAAATGGCTCCATGGTAATCAGCAAAAGAGAATAGTAGTAGCAGTAGTAGTAGTAGTAGTAGTAGTATAGTAGTAGTAGTAGTAGTAGTAATTAATAATAATAATAATAATAATAATAGCACATAATGTGATTAGAATATCCAATAGCTTAATGAAATAATGTTAAAACCTCCAACACCAATGAGCATTTATTGAATACTCACAATGGGTGAGTCCCTGTCCTAGGTACTAGAAATGCAAGGAGAAAAATGAGTAACTTCCCCTACTCATAAGGAGCTTACATTTAACTAGAGGATAAGACAAGTAAATAAACAAGTAAATAAAGACAATATGAGGCAGAGAGCAAGAATGCTTAAGTGGACTGGGAAAGGCTTCTTTTAGGACAGAAGTTTTTAACCTTTTTTATGTCATGGGGACATTTTGCCAATCTGGTAAAATCTATGGACCCCTCAGAATAATGTTTTTAAGTATATAAACTAAAATTCATAGGACTACAAAGAAAATAAATTTTATTGAAATACATTCATCCAATTTTTTATGTCCAAGGTCCTACTTTAGAAGGTACACATGAGCTAAGCTTTAAAAGAAGATAGGGATTCTAAGAAACTGAGGAAAAGATTGTGTAGATTTTGGGGATGGGAGAAAGGTACAGAAATGAGAGCTGGAATGCTGAATTTAAGGAAAAACAATTAAGCCAGTTTGACTAGAACACAGAATATATAAAGGTGAGTAATAGAAAATAAGTCAGGAAAACTAGGCTGGAGCTAGATTGTGAAAAGGCTCCCAGAGAAATAGGGAGGGGATGAGGTCAAGGGCATAGGTAGAGTGGTTGACTTTGGAAAAAAGAAGAGTCACCTCTTCTTCATCAAGGGCCAGAACAGAGGAAGAGAATGAGGGATGGTATAGAGATATGTAATGGATGAGAAGAGGGAACTCACGATGAATGGCCTCTATTTTCTCAGCACAGTAGTAGACAAGGATCTCACTAAGTCTAAATCAACAAGCATTTATGAAGTATTTACTAAATGCCAGGTACTCTGCTAATTTCTGGAAATACAAAGAAGTGCGAAAAACATGGTCTTTTCCCTCAAATAGCTCACCTTCCACTGGGGAGGACAACTTGAGGGGGAAGTACATATGATATATACAATGTAAATGGAATGAGATGTAAGGAGAAAAGACAACATTTTGGGACAGCCATCGTGGAAAGTATAAAAGAGAGTCACCATGTGACTCTTATCTAAACCTACTTTACTGTTATCTAGTCTCAAATGACATATTTTCTCCTCATCAGAAGATACTCCCCAAGAACTGCTGTTGTTGCTCCATCTTTTTACTTCTTAGCGGAACTAGGTGAGTCTTTGTGATTTATTCCAACTATAGAAGCTAGACTAATTCTTCTGCAACTGACTGCTGATCCACGATACCTAGGAATGGGCCCTCCAAGTAGAAGCTGAAAACTAGTAATCAAATTTCTTGCTTGTTATTTCTTCAACATAATTGCCGGCTCTTAGCCAATTTCCTTAGATGTTGTGGCACCCTTGAGTGCAACACTTTTGTTTTCTAATGCCTATTCTACTTCTGACCCAAAGCCCTGATGGCCCTGCTTGCCACACCAAATAATATGCCAATAACTTGGGCATTATGAGTTCTTAAGTCCTTTTACAATTAGGCCTGCTCAGGTTCTAGACTGTACTGGTTCAATGAGGTCTTCACTACTAGTTATAAAAACTTCAGTAGACACTCTCTGTATTATAAAAAATACTAAGAACTGATTTTTAATTCATGAGATTGCCAGTAAAACAATTCTCAAACTTTTGCTGAATTAAAGAACCTACTGGTTCTTTAAATATGTCCACTGATATTAGTGTAATTCAGTTTTTCAGTTTCATTTATTATTTAACACAGGGCTTATGCAAGAGCAAATGTCTAAAGCAGGCCGAGATATTCAATGTAAATGAAAACATTAAGAAACACTCAGGTGAGATGTGAACCACCCTTTTTTTGATTTTGTGAGCATATCTTTGCTGACCCGTTCACTTAAACTGATCATACTGAAGTTATCATTTGTTTTGTTCTATATTTAATGCCAGGTTAATGTTAAACACTGGTCAGGTAATATTCGTCATAAGCCAATGATAGTAATAATAATGATAATGATAACAATAATAATAATATAGCACCCAGGAAACTCTCCGACTTGAAGACTGAGAATGGCTACTGTAGATCTAGGCACTCAGTGGACATGTACCCTTAAATTATACATGATAAGCCCTCACCAATATGTCTGTCTTTTAAAAGTTAGCCAGAGGGCATAATTAGCTCAAAGCAAAGTCATTTACTGATACAGCAGGGAAAAAATTTTTAAAAACCCAACAACAGCCAGATATCTCTCTCAAAAATCTGGAGTGCACTTTTCCACAAATAAACAACAGCATCAGCAGAGGGAATGGACGCACATAGAGATCATAAGAGGAGAGGAACAGACATAGGGGATGGATATGACCAGGGTATATTGGAAGGGTACTTATGAAGGGAATGTGTATAGTCAAGAAACATGAAAAGGGACAGCTCAAGCCTCCAACGCTACAGGACCCCGAAGTCTTCATGTTGCTCCTGCTGACCTTGGTTTCTTTTCTTTCTATTTGCAAGGCAATTGGGGTTAAGTGACTTGCCCAGGGTCACACAGATAGTAAATGTCAAATGTCTGATCTGAGACTGGATTTGAACTTGGGTCCTCCTGACTCCAGGGCCTGTGCTCTATCCACTGCACCACCTAGCTGCTCCTGACCTTGGTTTCATAGTATCTACTATGCTTCCAGACACTGCTTGGCTGAATACTTACTGTCAGAGGCTGCTCCAAAACTGCTGCATGACTGTAGTCTCCATTGCCTTCAATCCTTGGGTAGGGTACTACTACATGCTTCTTTAGAATGGGCATGACCCCTTATCTGGCTTCATGGTCCAAGTAGGATACTGTGCTAAAATGATAAACATTGCCTTTCTCCTCCAAGGAGCAGGAGGCATCAGGAAATCTTTTCTCTCTAGAAGATCTAGTCCCTGGAATTCTCAAACTCAGGAACTCCTAAACTTGGAGTTACCCACGAGGCAATTCTCAAAGCTGGTGCTGCCCTGAAAAACTTCTTTCTCTGCTTAGGGGCAAGATCCCAGGATCACACTCTCTAAGGAGATTAAAATACCCCTTTTCTGCACAGGAAGTTGGCATTCAGGAAGCAATTTTTGAATTCTCTTTTCAGGCTGCATGGAAGCCCATGTTTCCCATGGCCATATGGTGCTACAAGTTGTCAATGATGCTTCTGGTTGGAAGATGGGAGGAATCCCCTGCTACTCCCCTTGCCCTCGATATACTCTGAAATAGGTCTGAGGAAAAACAAGAAGAACAATTCCCCAAGAGCTGAGTTTTAGCAGAGTGAGACAAGTCCTAGCTTTCCTATATAGGCTATAGGTTGCATGACTGATCATTCACTGTCCAAACACTAGGAGTTCCCTGTGTTCCATAAATTGTTTTCATCCAATGGCCAATACCTAGAATCTCATCAGATTTATGGAGGAACTCCATTTTGATTAACAATGGTCTACACTCTACTGTATTGTCAGATTATGTAGAAAATTTCTTTGACTTGATCCAGTCTCCTTTGATTCACTTCCAAAATAATAATAATAATAATAATAATAATAATAATAATAAAACATTTAAATTCATAACAAGGCAGCTAGGTGGCACAGTGGATAGAGTGACAGGCCTGTAGTCAGAGAGACATGAGTTCAAATCCAGCCTCAGCACTTCTTAGCTGTGTGACCCTGGACAAGCCCCTTAATCTGGTTTGCCTCCGTTTCCTCACCTATAAAATGTTACAGAAGGAAATGGCAAACCACTTCAGTATCTTTGCCAAGCAAACTCCAAATGGGGTCATGAAGAGTCAGACATGACTGAAAATGACGCAACAACAACATTCATAGCATTTTACACAGATGATCTTTGATCTTCTCAAACACTGGGTGAGTTAAGTACTCCAAGGGATGGTTATTTCCATTTTTACAGATGAGGCACAGAGAAATTAAATGACATGCTCACAGTTGTATTGCTTGTAAGTGTCAGAGGTAGGATCTGAACTTCCATCTTTCCTGACTCCAGGGCAAGTATACATTCAACTCCCCTACACTGCTGCTCTCTGCCTAATACTGTTTACAAGTATAGACATACACTAGCATAAGGCACATTGGAAGAGCTGAATGAGACATTTTAGAGGCAAACTGAGCCTTGGTTACCACGTTGATTACTACAACTGCTCTTGGATGTTTTTTTTTTCCAGTTTGTCTGTGTTGGAGGGAGTCCCAACAGAATGAAGGCTTTTGCGCTGTTTATCCGCAAAGAACTTGGACTTGAGGGAAGTGAGGAAGACATACAAGACATTTGTGCTGGGACAGACAGATACTGTATGTACAAAGCAGGCCCTGTGCTCTCTGTCAGTGTAAGTACTAAATCATTGCATCAACCTACCTCATGGAAGCTATTGAAATCATTATTGTGGGGTAGAAAAATCTGGCTACTTGTAAATGAATGCATAAATAAATGAATGAAAAAATTTGTTAAGCAGGTATTATGTGCTTGTGCATGTATGTTATAAGTACTATGCTAAGCCCTGAGGATACAAAGAGAAAAATTGAGAAGGTACTTGCCCTCAAGAATTTACACTCTAACTAGAAGAGACAATATGTAACAGAAGGCTTAGCTGCAGGGTGGTTGGAAGACCTAAAAGAAAATGGGTTTATGCGTGAGGCAGATGGCAAAGCCCCGGGGGGCAGTGCCTGGGGGTCTGGAGGGTGTAGCAGCAGAAAAGATGGGAAGACCCAGAAAACCTTAGGAATCATTGTCAGGGTTAAAGGTAAGGCTTAGTAGTCCTCCACTTTACTAGAAGAACTGTTGCTGTTTATTCCCTGCTTATACAAGCAATGTGAGCAGCCATGTCCATTCTGCAGGGTTGGGGCAGGGAAGGGGTCTGGCCCACCACAATTGGGAAACAGGAAGTGGGCCAAAAGCTCTGAATAGTTAATAATAGCTGGCATTTATGTAGTGCTTTGTAAGTATTATCTCATCTTATCCTCACAACCACCCTGTAAGGTAGGTGCTATTATTTTCCCCATTTCACAGTTGAGGAAACTGAGACAGTCAAAGATCAAGTGACTTGCTTAGGGTCACACCACTAGTACATGTCTGAGGCCAGATTTGAACTCAGGTCTTCTTGACTCTAAGCCTGGCTCTTTATCCACTGCACCACTTAGCTGACTCAAATGGAGCATAGATTCTGGGTTCCTACCTACAGGGATGGGTAAGCAGGGTAGGGGTTAGTTTCCAATCAGGAATGGGGAATGCTCGAAGATAAGCATGCTGTTTTTATCTTTCACATTCTGGACACTTCCTCCAGGAGAGCACCAACTTACTGGTCATTTGAAAAAGATCATGCATTAAGAGTATCAGCAATTGCACGGACATTTATAAATATGTGATTCTTAGTACCTTCTGCACCCTTATTCACTCTAGCACTGTCTCTGTGGAATTGAAGAGGGGCCCAGACAGGAGTCAGTGCCTTTTGTCTTTATATCTGCTTCATGGGATGAGAAAAGTATGGGGTGCTGTGTTCTACCTTGGTGAAGGGGTTACCCAACCCACATGACCACTGAGATGTTCAGTGATGTGTGACCTTCCAATACAATCCCACAAAGTTGCCAGGTACAAATTCATTATTAGAAAGAAGGGGGGGGGCAGCTGGTTGCACAATGGGTAGAGCATGGCCCTGGATTCAGGAGAACCTGAATTTCAATCCGGCCTCAGACACATAACACTTACTAGCTGTGTGACCCTGGGCAAATCACTTAACCTCATTGCCTAGTCCAAAAAATTTTTTTAAAAATTTAAAAAAAGAAAGAAAGAAAGGGCAGGACATGCTGTTCAGTATTGCTTCGGGGCAGTTAACATGTAAATTTTTCATGTTAGAAATAGCAAAAAGGACATCTACTTTCTTTTTCACTGGTAACTATTAACTGTCCCTGTTATACACACATCACCTTTCAACAACTCTCTCTTCAACACCTCTCTACCTCTGTGAATGTGGAAGTCTTAGTACACCAGGGAAATTTGTACTTATTCCAAAATGTGACAGTTTAAAACTTTAATAAGCGCTACTGAAAATCTGCTAATGCATTTTCATGTGGTTCCTATAAATTACTTTCCTGCATTTAGAATATGTTAACGGCAGTAGACACACAGTGCCCTAAGATAAATGAAGAACAGAATTACAATTTTTATGAACTATACACAAAATGTCATCCCCTTTACCCTTCCCCTGACTCTTTTTTTTTTTTAGCTATTGTCTGCAGGGAAGCAGAATGTCATAAAGATGTGTAAGAATAATGCCTCTAGCTTGGCCTTACAAATTTTGTCTCTACCTATGGGACAAGGTCATAATGTAGCAACAGGGAGCGTGTAGCATCACTAGACATGCAGCCTCAGAGGAAGAATAGCCTGAGGTGTGGCCAGAGACCAGAGAAGCCTGTAACAATTCTCCTGTCTAGCAGTTAAGTTAGAGACAGCTCCCATGCCAGGAAATGATGACTATCACTGAAAGCTAATCATAACTCTACCCCCCTAAGCAGCAGCCTGTGTGGATATCTGGAACTGACTTGGCAGTCTCTGGGCACAGTGATGGTTAGAGAGGAGAACGAAAGGCTAGCAATGACAGCAAAGGGGAAGATGATGGGGAAGAAAAAGACAGACAGGTGAGCTTCCCGTATTAGAAGTACATGGATAGGCGCAGCTCAGTGGCACAGTGGATAGAGCACCTGCCCTGGATTCAGGAGGACCTGAGTCTAAATCCAGTCTCAGACCAGACACTCAGCACTTACTAGCTGTGTGACCCTGGGCAAGTCACTTAACCCCATTGCCTAGCCAAAAAAAAAAAAAAAGAGTGTATGGATGCTGCCCACTTCGGGTTCAAAGGGAGAGTGGAGATTCATGTTTCTATAGACCTTGCTTCCCAAAGCCTTAACATGCTTTTTGACTTACAACACCCCACCCTTTGTTCAAGCAGTCTGAGTGTGTGAGGATAGTAAAATATAGCATTAATAAAATATATTGAAAACCACCAGAAGCGAGCAATAAAACTTCACCATGAAATAAAAACAGCCTAATCTCAGTGCCCCTTGGGAGAAGAGTAGCTAAAACATGGTTCTAGCTCTAAGGTCAGCAAACTGGACCTTGGTTTCATCAGCAGAGTGGAGGAATTCCTAACTGGGAGCCCTTCTTTGAAAATGTCTTTTCTCTAGCTGACAGATAGGAGGAGATAACAGGAAACCTATAACAAAACTGAATAAGCTCAGTTGTTACTATGTCATCACTGGTAGCCGCAAATATTTATTGAGTAGCCAGTGTGATTAGAACATTGGGCAGGGCACTGGGGTTAAAAAAGGCAAGAGACACAGGCCCTGCTCTCCAAGGGCTTAACACACACACACACACACACACACACACACACACACACACACACACAATTTCTCAAATTCTGATTGGAGAAGCAGGCTGTATCAAATGTGAGGAGGGGAAAGGGAATGGATTTAGCTCACCAGAACAGACCAGAAATTGATTATTTCACAGAGTATGTTCTCTCATGATATAAAGAAAACAGAATATATATTTGGAGATCCTGCTGAAAACAAATGGACTTTGTTTCCTCTGGGTTTCCAAACTGAACTCATCCTGAATAGTCCTGACAGAAGCCATCCAACTACCAGGACAGACCAGCCCTCCTACCTTCTTTCCCAATATGCTCTCTTGTACAAAAAGTCTTTCTACCTTCGAGTGGAACACAGGAAAAGCTTCACTTACAAGGCTCCTCTACATTCTTTGTGCAAAGTACACTTTAGCTTAATCACTTCCAGTGTTTAGACTTACTCCAGCGGTGCCTGGACAAATTTCCTGTAATGACAGCTGACATTTGTTTATTTAATGCTTTAAGGTTTGCAAAGCACTTTACAAGTATTATTTCCTTTGATCTCCATGACCACTCTGTGGTGTAGGTAAATTCAGTGATTGTAGTCCCATTTCACAGATGAGGAAACTGAGACTTAGAGAAGTAAAATGACTTGTCCATGGTCACCCAGATAGTAAGTGTCAGGAATAGGATTTAAAACCAGATCCCTCCTGATTCTAAGTCCATCGTTGTTTTCATTGCATTGCCTCCAGATAGCAGGTCTGACTAGAGGCAGCTGTTCAAATAGAGGAGAGTCGTTTAACTCTCTAGCCTGCATACTCTTGAACTCTAAGGACAGGAAGATACTGCCTTAACACCTTCTGACCTCATCGTTCTACTGAAAAGGTGAGATCAGATAGGTAAGGGAACCAGCAAAGAATGCTGTCCCCAAAATCTAAGAAAGTATAAAGGAAGAGATGGTGACCAACAGGGTCAAATACTGCAGAGAGATCCTGAAGAATGAGAATTGAGAAATGCCTTTTGGATTTGGCAATTAAGAGATCATTAGGAACCTTGGAGAGGGCAGTTTCAATGGAATGATGAGGTCAAAAGATGTTATGGCAGTATCTTCCTGTCATTAGAGTTCAAAAGTATATAGGCTAGAGAGTTAAACAACACTCCTCTATTTGAACAGCTGCTTCTAGTCAGACCTGCTCTGTACTACTTCATTTGGTGAAATCATCTGCTCCCATGGACTTAATTACCATCTCTATACTAACGATTTTCCAATCTATCTATTCGACCCAAACCTGTCTACTGATCTCAGATCCCCAGTTTCTTAGACTTACAGGTATTATTCTCCACTCCTCACTGTCTCTTGCACCTCACATCTGATCTGTTGCCCAGACCTGTGAATTTTACCATTTCAGCATCTCTCAGGTACGCTCCCTTCTCTTTTCTGACAATGCTGCCACTCTGGTACAAGCCCTCATCACTTCACACCTAGACCATTCCAATAGCCTGATGGTAGGTCAGCCTGCCTCAAGTTTCTCCCTACTCTATTCCAACCTCCTTTCAGCCACCAAAATGAGTTTTCCTAAAGCAAAGGATTGACTATGCCACTCCACTACTCAATAAACTTCAATTGCTCTTTATTGCCTCCAGATTCAAATACAAAATCCTCTATTTAACATTCAAAGCCCTTCATAACCTAGTCCACTTCCAGTCTTCTCACATCTCTCTCCCCACCATCTACTCTTTGATCCAGTGGCACTGGCCTCCTTGCTGTTGCATAAATAAGACATTCCATCTCTAATCTCCAGGCATTTTTTCTGATAGTCCCCCTTACTTGGAATGTTCTCCTTCACATCTCTGCCTACTGATTTCTTTGGCTTCCTTTTAATCCCAACTAAAATCTCATATTATATAGACTTTCCCTATCTTTCTTAACTCTAAAGCCTTCACTCTCATTTATTTTCTATTTATTCTGTATACATCTTATTTGTACATTTTTTTTTTGCTTGTTGACTTCCCCATTAGATTGCAAGTTCCTTGAGAGTAGAGACTGTCTTTTGCCTTTCTTTGAATCCCAAGTCCTTAGTATAGTGCCTGGCACATAGTAAGCACTTGATAAATATCTATTGACTGACTGACTGACTGACGGAAAGTGTTCAAAACTCCACACCATCCCCACACTCTGTCATGATTCTTGCCTGTGCTTCCAGCATATATTGCAAAATATGAATTGTGTTTGCAATCTGTTTCTCAGTGTATTTTCTTTTTTACAGAGATTTTTTATTTGATTTTTTTCAATTACCACGCATTTATGTTCCCTCCCTCCCTTGTAACAAATATGCTTAATCAAGCAAAACAAATTCCCACATTGGCCATGTCTAGAAATGCATATCTCATGTCTTTTCTGCAGTCCATTATCTCTCCATCAAGAGGTGAGCAGCATGCTTCATAACCTGTCCTCTGGAATTGTTGTTGGTCATTGTATTTACCAGAGGTCTTAAGCCTTTCAAAGCTATTTGTCTTTATAATGTTGTTGTTATTGTATAAATTGGTCTGCTGGCTTTGCTCACTTCACTCTGCAGCAGGTCACATAAGTCTTCTCAGGTTTCTCTGAAACTGTCCCTTCCATTATGTTCCATGGTGTAATAGTATTTCACTATATTCATATATCATAATTTGTTCAGTCACTTTCCAACTGATGGTACCCCCTTAGTAATAGCTGCTATAAATAAAGTTGTATGTAAATCCTTTTCCTCTTTCTTTGGTGTCTTAAGCATCTATCATCTATCTACACACATATAAATATATACACATATACATACACACATTTATTCATATACACATTTAAATTATCTATCTATCTATCTATCTATCTATCTATCTATCTATCTATCTATCTACTGGCCTCATAGTACTATTTCTCATTCAAACGATATCACAGTTAAGTGACTTTTAGAGTATTGTTCCAAACTGCTTTCCAAAATGGCTTTACCAATTCATAGACCCGCCAACAGGACATTAATGTATTTGTTTCCCCAAAGCTCCTCTAAGATTTGCTATTTTCCTTTTTTGTCATCTTTGCCAAAGATGGAGTGAAACTTCAGAGTTACTTTAATTGGTTTTTCTCTATTGGAGTATTCTTTCAGATGCCTATTCCTAGATTCTTGGTCCATTCTCACCCAACCTCCCCCTTTTCCCCATTCATCATACACATAGAAATAGCAGTGAGCGAACTCAGGCAGGGAAACATAAGAAGAACAAAAGGAATTGCAAATTCCACTTAGCTCAATACAGAAGTTTGAGTGACATGACAGCCACAAACACAAGCACATTTTCTCACAATCAAATTAAACATGAAAAATACTCTTTTGAAAAGTTTCCTCGTCAGGCGCCTGGTCGGGAGTAAAGAAATTATATCCCCCTGACAATCTTAGAGACTATATAATGTCTTTTTTCTGTTACTGCCTAGGAGGGCAGAACCCACTTAAATGGAGATGGAAATCCTCTTTCAGATCCTCCCAGATGTGCCCATCCATCAGGCAATCATGGGGATATGAGTTAGAGATGACTTAAATCTTCCCCAGCCTTGCCAAGTGCTTAATGATTATATAAATTCATCTGTGCATTGTTAACTTGTAAAGAAGGAACAAAATGTCTTGTGCATCTATCAATTTCAAAGAAATATGATGACTTTTCTTTTCTTCTTGACAGCATGGCATGGGCATTCCTTCCATTTCAATTATGCTGCATGGGCTCATCAAACTCCTTTACTATGCGAAGTGTTATGATGTGACAATCATCCGCATTGGCACGTCAGGGGGCATAGGTAAGGTACTCAGTTGTCTATGATGGAGCAGGATGCATAAAAAATTGGTATGAAAATAGAGTGCGTTTGCCACACCAATCAAACTACCAAATGTAGCACATTCACCTATGAGCTAAAAGAAAGTAGGAAAGCCCAACAATCCAAGGTGCTAAGCAGGAATCCTTGATGATACCTAACAGAGGTATCATCGTGCTAGTCAGTCAGTCGATAAGCAATTTTTAAGTGCTTTTTATGTGTCAGACATTAGACAAGGTACTGAGGTTACAAAGGCAAAAAGAGAGCCCTAACTTCAAGGTGCTCACATTCTAAAACAGGAGAGAACATGCAACCAACAACATATGCACAAACAAACACAGGCAAGAAATACCACACAAGGAAGACACTAGCATTAAGGGGAATCAGGCAAAACTTTATACAGAAGGTGAAATTTTAGCAAAGCATTGAAGGAAGCCAGAGAAATTCAGGAGGCAGAGAAGGGGTGAGAGGACACGCCAGTCACAAAAGACAAGCCGTGGAAATGCATGCAATCAGGAGATAACACCTTCTGCAGGGAACATCATTATGCCAGTGTCACTAGGTCATAGAGAAGGTGAAGGGGAGTAAAGTATAAGAAGACTGGAAAGAGAGGAGGAGACCAGGTCATGAAAGCAAAAGGGCTTTATATTTGATCTTTGAAGTTGTTCAGTCATTTTTCAGTCATGTCCAAATCTTCATGACCCTATTTGGCAGTTTCTCGGTGAAGATACTGGGGTGATTTGCCATTTCCTTCACTAGCTCATTTTACAGATGAGGAAACTGAGGCAAACAGGGTTAAGTGTCTTGCCCAAGGTCATACAGCTAGGAAATATCTGAGGCCAGAGTTGAACTCAGGAAGATGAGTCTTCCTGGTACTAAGTCCAGTGCTCTATACACTATGCCACGTAGATCTTGGAAGTAATAGAGAACAACTGGAGTTTCTTGAAAAACATCACTCTGGTAGCTGAGTTGGAGGCTTGGTTGAATTGGGGAGAGATTTGAGGCAAAGAGACCAACAAGTAGACTTTCTTTGGTTTGCATGGGAAGCTTTTTTTGGGAAGCAAACATGCTGCCATAGTTATGTATTCTCATAGCCCCATAGTACTACATGGGAAGAGTTAGATTGACAACAACTTTTTTTTGTTTGTTTTGTTTTGCTAAGGATACAGAAGAGCTCTGACTTTATTGGTGTCGGGATCTCCACTAACACAGATTGACAACTAACTCATCTATGACTTGTAGTCTTCCGAGTTTTTTGAAGGCTTTGAGAGCCTGGAACCTTCCCATGGTCATGTAGTTAGCATATGGCAGAAGCAGAACTTGACCTTTGGTTATTCAGCCCTCTATCCAGCACCTGATACTGCCTCTCAACTCATTTATATATCCATTTTCAATAATAAAAGGAATTGCTTTTATTATCCTTTTTATTTCTCCCAATAAAACTGTGAAGTAAATGGGAATAGTAAGAGAGTGGATGATGCTCTTGGATCCATTTATGTTTTGAGTGCTAGAGAAAACTTTAAAGGTCTCACAAGGCCAAGACTGGGATTTGGCAAGCCAGCTAGCCATAAAAAGCACAATACAGAGGGGATGGGGGGCAATAGAATAATAGAATAAAAGTATTGGAAAGGTGACCTCAGAGGCATCTAGTCCATCCCATACCTGAACAGAATCGCCATGGAAAGGGTACTCACCTTGAAGCTGGGATGACTTGGATTTGAATCCCAGCTCTGATACTTCATAGGAATGTGGCCACCAGATTTATTTAATCTATTAGATCCTGAGTTTCTTCATATGTCAAATAGGGATAACAATAATTATAATAGTTTGTGAGCAGGGATGGGGGTTTTGCCCCTTTTTTTAACCCCAGCACTTTGCATGGTGCTTAGCCCACACTAAGCACTTATTGACTGACTGAATAACTGACTGACCCTAAGCTTGACATGCAGTTTCTTCAGTCTATTGCTCTCTTAGGCTGTAGTAAATAAGGTAGAATCACCAGAAATTACGGTGATTCCTCTACTCACATCTGGAGTACTGAGTTCAATTCTAGACACCCCAGTTTAGGAAGGACGTAAGACAACTTGACACACACTGAGAAATGGAGAAAGGATCAGATGAAGTAACTTGTTATCCTGGAGAAAAAAAAGGCATAGCAAGGATGTGCTAGCAATATTCAAGTACCAAAAGAGCTCTCATGTGGGAAAGGAATTAGATTAGATAAGAAAAATGGGCTCTGAGGATTGTTTTGTTGCAATCACTTCTTTTTCATTTTCTTTTCACATTACAGGGATTGAGCCTGGGTCTGTCGTTATAACAGACACAGCTGTAGACTCCTTCTTTAAGCCCCAGTTTGAGCAGATAATCCTGGACACTGTGGTTACTCAGAGTACAGAGCTGGACAAGGAATTGGCAGAAGAATTACTCAATTGTAGCAAAGAAATTCCAGACTTCCCAACACTCATTGGGCATACAATGTGTACTTATGATTTCTATGAAGGTAAGGACAACTTACCAACAGTTGGGTCTATGCAGAAAATTGTTGGTATCTCTTTGGTATTTAAACTCACAAATTATATGAAAACACCCACTTCAGGGAATTAATAATAGAGGATTAAAAGGAAATTGAAACAGCCTTTTCTAGTTGCTAAAGCATAAGACCACAGGGACATAATAACCAGCAGAGAAACCCACATAATGAATTTATACTCAAGGTTGGGTTTAATCCTCCAAGAACAAATTGAATACTAAAATGCAATTAGGGAAGTTAACAAAATTGTGTCTCTTTTGATGTCATTAATTTTTAAATCAGTGATTCAGGAGAAAGGAAAACATAATCATTCACTGCTTTTGCTATTCACCTGAACCTAAAAGGATAAGCAGAGGACAGAAGGAACCAGTGGGTATTGGAAAACATAAAGAAAGACACATGGGAGCCCCAAAGGGATGGAACTGCCTCAAAATATTTCCACCTTAGTATTGCACAGATGGCTAGGGTGGGAGTGGGGAATGCTAGGAAAGACTCAAGGGTTGCACGAGGGTATCCAATCTAACTCAGTAATAACCTGCTTCTTTAGTTGTATCAACCCAGGATGTAAACAATACTTGTGGGGCATTGGCACCCTCAAGGAAAAGGAAGAAATGGAGAGAGAGATGAGGAAAATAAGAATAAGGAAAAAGGAGGAAATAGAAGTGAAAGAGAGGGAAAGATGTAAAGAGAGAAAAGCGTGAAATTGAAATTGAAATTGGCCAAGTTCTCCTATTGCTGTCCCTCCTTCCTTGTTTCCTTTACTACTGGCTCCTCTCTTCTTTCTCTATGTCTCTGGCTTTCTCTCTCCATCTCTGTCTCTCTGTCTCTGGCTCTCTTTCTGTCTCTATATATCTCTTTCTGTCTATGTCTCTATCTTTGGCTTTTTATCTCCCTCTCTGGCTCTATCTATCTATCTATCTCTCTTTCTGCCTCTATATCTCTGTTTTTGTCTCTGTCTCTCTCTGCCTCTATATATCTCTATCTCTTTTTCTGTCTCTTCATCTTTCTGTCTCTCACTGTGTATCTCTGTCTCTCTGTGTCTTTATGTCTTTCTGTCTGTCTCTCATATATATTTGCATATATATATTTGCATATATATATATATTGCATATATATATATATATATATATATATATATATATATATACATATATAAGTATACTGATATACTGTCTTCCATTAACTAATCCGCTCCTGTGGCTTGAATTTCCTTATTCATAGCATCTATGACTATAGTGCTTACATGTCATTGGGACGAGTCCCAGTCATTAACTTTAGCTTCAGAACCTCATTTTCATCTCCTTGTGGAACAGTTTCACTGTCATGTGTAGTCAACACTTCCAACTCAACATATCTTTAAGTGATCTTGTTATCTTCTTCCCCAAATCCATCCTTTCTCCCAATTTATTCATTTCTGTTAATGGTGCTATTGTTCTCCTAGTTACCAGGGCTAGAACCTCTGTCATTTTCTGTATCCCTCATATTACTCTCTCCCACTCAATTATTCACCATCTCCTATCCATTTTATTTCTATAATATCTCTTACATGAATTCTCTCCTTTTCATCCTAAGTCAGGCCTTATTACTTCTCACCTCAATAATTAAAATAGCCTCTTAACTGGTCTCACCACCTCTAGCCTCCTCCCTCCAAGTGAATTTACAAACTAATGCCAGATTAATTTTCCACATCTGCAACTCTGACTAGAGTACTCCCAGATCAAAAGTTTTCATTGCCTCCTCATCATGTTCTGAATAAAATACAAATTACTTAGCTTGTCATTAATAACAATACCTGTCATATGATTGCACAGGTCAGCTAGGTGGCATAGTGGATAGAGCGCTGGCCTTGATAGAGTGCCAGCCCTCAAATCAAGAAGACCTGAGTTCAATTCCAGCCTCAGAATCTTACTAGCTATGTGACCCTGGGCAAGTTACTTAAACTCTGTTTGTCTTAATCCACTGGAGAGGGAAATGGCAAACCATTCCAGTATCTTTGCCAAGAAAACCTCATGGGCAGTGTTGGTATGCTATGGTCCACAAGGTCACAAAAGATTGGACATGACTGAGTGACTAAACAATAAACCAATTTTTGCAGATGGAGGAAAAGGCTTAGAGGAAGTTGACTTGCCTATGGTCATAGAGCTACTAAGTGATGGAAACAGAACTAGAACTCATATCTTCTAACTCCAGGTCCAGTGTGCTTTCCCCTATTAAAACATATAGCCTCTGTAGTATGGTGCCTTCCTTTTTCTTCTCTGTTAGTTAATAGCCTATCCATCATTCAGCTCATTCACCTCCAATGTCACCTCCTCCATAAAGCTTTGCTTGAGCCTGCCCACATAAAGCAAGCCCTCCCCCCTTTGATCCTCATGCCATGTGGGGGCAGGGCACCTCTCTCAGGTACTTTCAGGCACAGGATTTGAGAGGCAGCAGGGTATAATGACAGCAGCACTAGTGTCAGGAAACCTGGTTTCAATCTTGTCTCTGGCTGTGTGATCCGGGGCACATCATTTTTACTTTTCAGAGTCTTAGAAAACAGTTTCTGATCCATATTGGTAAAGGGAATTTCTTCACAATTCTCTATACCAATGAAATCTCAGATCCAGACCAATTCAAAAAAAGAATTTAGCTTCTCTTTCTTCCCCTACATTCTCTCCTCTGCCCCCACTAAACTAGAGCTGTTGGAGTGTTTGTTTTTTTAGAGCATGGACCATGCTTTCTTAATTTTCTGTCTTCTCAGAATTTAGCATAACAAATGCGTAATAAATGTTTGTCAAATTTAATGAAAATTACACCACAAAAGTAAAAACTGAGGATACAGATGAATCTAGTGATTTAAATGACCTGTAGAAACAATTTCAGGCTATAGCACCTATAAGCCACTCTAAACACACCTATGAGCCACTCTAAGCATGCCTGTGAACTCTACAAGACCACTGGTCAAAGGTTCTCCCTTCTCTTTAAGGACAAGGACGTCTGGATGGAGCATTGTGTTCTTTCTCCAATGAAAAAAAGCTCGATTACTTACAAAGAGCTTACAAAACTGGCAACAGGAATATTGAAATGGAGTCCTCTGTGTTTGCAGCCATGTGTGGACTTTGTGGGCTAAAAGGTAAGATTTTCACGAGAATTAGAAGCCAACTTCTGCTTTCTTTAACTTGTGTCTAGAACTAGGAAGAAGTGTGACATTAGACTCTGAGGAGGTATGAAATCCCACACTTTCTCCTCAATTAATCAACAAACATTTATTAAATATCTACTGTGTGCAAGACATTGTTCTAGACTTTAGGGTTACAAAGACAAAAATGACAGACAGTCCAGTGACTTTGAGGATCATCTATCCTGTCATCCTTGCAATCTGGTTTCTATACCCATCATTCCACTAAGGTAAATCTTTCTAAGGTCACTTATTGCTACAGTACAAAGAGCATGGGATTTAGAGTCAGATGGCCTTGGTTTGAATCTCAGCTATGCTACTTATTATCTGTATCTCTCTCTCTCTCTCTCTCTCTCTCTCTCTCTCTCTCTTCTCTCTCTCTCTCTCTCTCTCTCTCTCTTCTTTGCAGTCTTCTCTGTGGCCTCCTCCTCCATCCCTTTTACCCTATAGATGACTCCAAAACCCATGTCTTTTCCTCCTGATCTTTCTTTAAGACTCCAAGGTCATATGTCCAACTAAGAAGTTGAACCGGATGTCTTTCCCTGAGTTTACTAATGGCATCTCAATCATAATATATCCAAAACTGAACTTGTCATATTCTCCCTAAAACGTATTTGGTATCCCAACTTTCCTGTTTCTGTTGATGGCACCATAATCCTCTTGGTCAATCTACCATGTAACATCTTCATCATCTTTGACCTTTCATCCTCCCTTACTCCACACATCCAACCTGTTGCCAGTTCTTGTTGATTCTACCTCTATAACATCTCTTCCATCCATTTCTTTCTTTCCATGTGTATAGCAACTATTCTAATTTAGTCTTGCATCTCTTCTTATCTGAAATTGTTTAATAGATTCCTAAGTGGTCTTTCTACCTCCAGTCTGTCCTTTCTGCTATATGTCTTCAACCATCATATGGCACTGTTAACCACTATGCTAGTCCTACTCAACAAGAAGGTTGAGAAAGTTCAACCTGGAAGTTACATAATACCCTCCTCCTCCTTGTTGAGAAAGAATATGAGGAAGTATTCTTCTCTATGTTTTTTAGAGAAGAGACAATTGTTTATGCTCTAGCTCTGCCACTCTCTGAGTTACTGTGCTGTCTTGTTAGCTTAAGGAATATACTTAATGTGGATTTAACTAATGAAAACAGCTCTGATACTCCACTTCTTCCCAAATTCTCCTCTATTTCACTAGTCATGCAAACTGGATATAATGGAGTCAGCTCTCCATAGGAACAAGTAGGTATGCTTGGTAACTCTACCCATATTCCTTATTTCCTCCCAATTACATATCCTTCACATCAATGTTCAGATTATCTTTATAACCACTCCCAATCAAGTCACTACTCTACTACAGAAAACAAAACAAAAAAAAAACTTTCAATGGCTCCCTATTAACTAATGGATAAAGTATAATCCATATCCTAGTATTCAAGGCCCTCTACAATCTGGCTCCCAGTTTCTTTCTTATGCTGTGTATTCCAGGCAAATGGACTATTTTCTTTCCCTGTATCCTATTTTCTCTCTCTCTCTCTCTCATTTCCGTGCCTTTGCCCACACCATCATTCATGCCTGGAAGGGGCTTTACTCATCTTCTTTGAATTCTCTCTTTTGATTCAAGAACCAACTCAAGTACTACCTGTTCCGTGATGCCTGCCCTGACCTTTGCAGGTGAAAAAAAAATTCTCCCTCCACATAAATTTTATAATTTATTTCTTATTTCAGTTTACTTGTAGTTAGTTATTTGCATACATTTCTTTCCTCACATTAGATTGTGATCTCTTTAAGAGCAGAATTGGGGGCAGCTAGGTGGCACAGTGGATAGACTCCAGCCTTGAAGTCAGAAGGACCTGAGTTCAAATCTGGTCTCAGACATACAATGCACAACACGTACTAACTATGTGACCCTGGGCAAGTCACTTAACCCCAAATGCTACCAAAAAGCAAAAAAAAAAAAAGAGCAGAATTGAAACTATCTATATCTCCAGTGCTTAGCCCAGTTCCTTGCATACACTAGGTACTTCATAAATGTTTACAGAATTGAATTGAATGCCAAGCTGCCTCCCATCATCTTAAATATCCTTTAGAAAGTAATTCACAAGCTCACCAATAAAAAAAAGTTGTTTTCAAGCAAATTTATACACTATATTAGACCTACTTGGAAAGCTCCAGATGAAGTTTGCACAGCAAAAAAAAAAAAGTTTCTTTTGGTGAGAATGATTACTACCCAGCTGGAAAATGATAACCACATAGCAGGACATTAAAGCAAAAAATTTCAAAAGCCATGCACTATCTGTATTTAACATGGCCACTGTCTCTTTTTGAAATTCACTGCCATGAAATAAATCATCAACACCAAATATAATTTGTCTAGCACCTACTGGGTGTATGATTCTGTACTAAATGTAAGATTAAGAAATGGTATTTTTACCTGATAATTTGATTCATAAGATTTTCTCCCTTCCATTACCCTCTGTTAGAATGACTTTTCTCCTTTGCTGCCAGGCAGATTTAGAGGCTAAATTAAAAATCTACTAGTAGTATTAGAATATAACTTCCAGACATAACAAATTTACAACTAAAAAACATATGTAATGAAGCTTCTTAATCTATTTCTAAGCATCAGTATGAGATGTTACTTATGGGAAACAATGATGTAGTGAAAAGCATTTGGGATTTGGAATCAGAAGACCTGAGTTCATTCATGTCCCAACTCTGCTACACTCCTCCAACAAGTCTTTCCACCTCTGTGATTCTCCATTTTCTCATCTGCAATGAGGCTAGATTAGATCAGAGCTTCTTGACCTTCTTGTGGGTCATGGTCCCCTTTGGTGGTCTGGTGAAGCCTATGGAGCCCTTCTCAGAATCATGTTTTTAAATGAATCAAATAAAATACCTAGGATTGCAAAGGAAACCAATTATATTGAAATACTTAGCTAAATTGTTTTGTATGTTTATAGATGCCAGATTAAGATCCCTTGGACTAAATAATCTCTAAGGTATCTTCTAGCTCCAAAATCTTGGTTGTTAAATCAACATGTGAGAGATGATCTCTCAGAAGTGAAGCCTCCTCAGGGGGGTCAATGGTTCTTGTTAATAGCTCTTGATTGTTGCTTTCAAAACCCTCCCCAGCTCACACCCTGTTTTTAAGTATTTAGCGGAAAGAATAACCTTGCCCCTAACCTGAACTGCCTATCCTTGAAAAGCTTCCCACCTTTTCTTGTCTCTGGGCAAACTTGTGTCTCTGTGAATAGATTGCACCCCCTGAAAGCCCAGCCAATGGGATAAGGGGAAAGGGGTTAGGGAGGAGGAACTCACGTTAGGGTATAAATAGGCCTTTATTTCTGTAAGGAACTTGTACTTTCCTGGCCCGCAATGGCGACCAGGGTCAGTACCCTTTCTCATGAGAAAGCAATAAATTCCTTTCTACTTTCAAGGTATCTAAGCCTTTGTTTTTAATTTTGAGTAAGTGGTCTCTGTCCCACACAAACATATACTTTCTGCCCATTCCTGAACCTTACAGAAAGCAAGAAAAATGCATGATCAGAAAGAAATGTATGCTTATTTTATGTTCTTTGGAGCATAAGCTTAAGGGCACAGTAGATAGAGCACTGGCCCTGAAGTCAGGAGGACCAGAGTTCAAATCCAGTCTCAGACACATAATACTCACTAGCTGTGTGACTCTGGGCAAGTCACTTAACCCCATTGCGTGGCAAAAACAAAAACAAAACAAAACAAAAAAACATAAGCTTGCACGGGGATAGTGACAGAGACAAGTAAAACAGGTAGGAGTATAGCTATAAATGATCCATTCCAAGACCAAGTATTAACAACTTCCTTAATACACAAAGGATCCCAGTCACCCTTCCAGTTTTCCCCTCTCTTCCAGCTCAGGGCCCTTATTCTCCATAGAACTGCCTAGAACTCCCTCCCCCTATGCTGTCCCTTTTAGTCCTATCCTATATACCTTTTCTTTTCCCTCCAATCACCTTTTCTACAGAGTTCATAAGGTATTTGTGGACCTTGAGTCCTTGCATGTGTGGGGAATATCTGGTAGTCTACTTTCTCTGTAACATAGAGTATGTGAAGGGAAGAAGGATGAATTTTGTTGCTGAGTTGTTTTTAGTTATGCCCAACTCTTTATGACCCCATTTTGGGGGGTTTTCTTGGTAAAGATGAGAAACTGAGGCAAACAAGATTAAATGACTTGCCCAGGATCACACAGATAGTAAGTGTCTGAGGCCAGATTTGAACTCATGAAGATGAGTCTTTCTGGTTCCAAGCCCAGTGCTCCATCCACTGCACCACCTAGCTACCCCAAGAAGGATGAAAGAAGTCTGCCAAAGTTAGGTTTTTAACTAGATTGTGAATGGTCTATAACACCAGACTAAAAGTTAGAGAACTAGGGAACAATCTTCAGCGAAGAGGAGACACTGTAAGGTGTGCTCATTAGCAGCTGTATGAAGAAGTTTGGACTGGAGAGAAGGGACCTTTCAGGTGACTAGTACCCTAGTCAAGGTAAGAGTTAATGAGGACTTGAGCTGGGGTATTGAGTGGAGAAGAGAGACATCAATCCATCTGAAATTAGAGATGCTGATGATGAATAGAGAATCAAGAGGATTTGGCAACTGCTTGGATGGGGAATGAAGGAGAGGGAAAAGTCAAAGATGGACCTGATCTTTTGAGCCTAGTTGACTTGGAGGGGATCAAAAGAGAAGTTGAGAGTTTGGGTTTTTTTGGTGGGGAAATAATTATTTTGGTTTTGGACATGTTGGTTTAATATGTTGGAAACACATTCAGGTGGGGTCGGTGACAAAAAGCTATTTATATTGTGCTTGTACATTTGCAAATACTTTTAACTCATGTTTGAGCCTTACAAAAAGCCTACAAGTCAGGTACCATGGATGGTATCATCCCCATTTTATAGTTAAGAAACCTGAGATTTAGAGAGGA